ATATTATAACGTCATTCTATTGCCTAGTTATTAGTACATAGATTATAACTTCAAAAAAGTCCAGAGATCCAATATATTACGTGCTTTTGACTTACATATAGTCTCCGAAATTAACAACAAATAAAATTCTGATTGTGTCTTACAGAAAATGTAACAGCTCGAAATAATAGACCAGATTATGTTTACAGCAGATTAACGTAGCTAACTGTCCATTAAAATAAAATTTTTTAATTTAATTTTAGGAGATCAATATCAGTCCTACATACTGTAATTTATATCTTCTCACGATTTTTTAAATTCATTTTTACGTTCCAATATTTTAGTCAGAACAAACTGTTTAACAATATTACCACAGTTAATACGGTTAATACCACGGTCTTATTCTCTCGACAGGCAATAATTGGAGCAAGTGAACTTTTCTGAAATTATAAAATTATTCTTACATAGTAAATGAATATCACGTTGCAAAATGAATGGAGAAAAATTTCTAAATATCATAAAAATTCTCAGTCTATTAATTTGACTGAAAAGTTTAATAATTAACTGATAATTATGTAAGAGATTTTAACTTAGCCAAATTAATGAAGGATATTTTTTTGTATCCTTTGTAAAAATCGAATAAATTGCAATTATTTTTGCGGCCAGACGATACTTTCTATCCACGAAAGATATTCAGACACTCTGGTATAAACACCAGGAACATCGATCATCGCGCAACCCTGACCGAAGCTGGTGATACCGATTACTTTGTAGAGGCATTTGCTTTCAGTATGTTTTATTTGCAGAGGACCACCGGAATCTCCTTGGCAAGTATCCGTGGACCAGTTATTTCTTATATCTCCAGCGCAAATCATATTCGATGTGATACCGTACGGAACTTCTATCGAACTATTGTGTCGTTTTGCACATGACGCATTGTCTATTAGATCCAGCGAGGCCTTCTGCAACCGGTTGTTCGGGTCTCCGGCTTGAAAGTACAATAATATATACAATAATATAACATAACATAAATTAAATTGATATATTGGTATACAAATTTTTAACCCCCATAATAAAGGGGTTTCGCACTTTATTGTCAGGAATTCTGCAAGATTCTTAATAAATGTAGAGCCCTTGGATATTTAGATTTTCAAATCCATTTAGCTCTACAATTCTTTGTTCAAATTTTGCAATTCCGTAGTTGTCACGTAACACGTTTTCGCGCTAGGAATTACCAGATTACCTACCAAATTCCGTGACGCCCCAGCCGCTAACCCAAACCAAAGTATTTTTAGGCAAGATATCGTATTCGTGATAAAGACACGCGGGTCGTATGGCTGAGTTAAACGTGACAGCGTCCGTCAGCTGCACAAGAGCTATGTCCGCATACAACGCAGGTGGATTAAAATCCGGATGACTTATTATATTTTTCACGAGAACTGTGGTGCCGAAGCCTGTATTGCCCGTCAAATTGCGGAAACCTATCCTTGCGACAGTTGGACCGCCGCTGTAAAATAATATATATTGTATGGGATTAATTTTATTGGTCATCTCATAAATAATTGTAAGCTTAATCTTACAGACTTTTTAGATCCACAATTTTTAATATATTTAAATATAAAAAAATCAATAGGCATTTAATAAAATTCTTTAACTTTCTCTCTATAATATAATACTGTGTCAAAAACACGTGTTGAAAAAATACGAATATTTTCAAATTTTGAAATTTTATCTGATTTTATTCAATAAATAATGCAATAATAGCAGATGAAAAACAAAAGGAACTTTTTTTTAATGGCAAGTTGTAGTTTAAAGCGAAAAAAAAATGAGAAGAGTACTTTGGTCCATAAGTGCAGTGCGCAGCGGTAAGTACCCAGGTATGTGAAATCAACGTGCCGCCGCACATCAGGGAGAAGTCGGTAGTAGAGCCGGTGCCCAGGGCCACCATGTGAGTGAACTCACCCTCATCAATTACGTCTATGCCATTGACCAAGAAGTGTCTTATAAATCCACGACAGGTATCGATCACTTCGGTTACGCCCGTCGTAAAATTAATCCCATATTTGTAAACTGTGTCCAAAATTTCTTCCGTATATTCCTCGCATTCTGAAATTTATTTTTTAAATATTATATTGTGATTTATGTTGAATGTATAAAGAAGAATACATCATTCACCAGATATCTAAACCTGTTACCGGTTACATTATAATTGTGTAAATTATTAAACTTTTAGATTTTTATATCTATAAATTTTTCAATTCTATAACAAGTTCTGGAAATATACAGTCATATTTTACTTACTACGTTGCGATATCCTTTCCGCTGGATTAACATTGAGAGGTGACGATTCTTTCAATGATGAGAGTGGAGGATGAAGTTTAGGAGGAGTTGTCGTACGAGATGTTGTAAAATCATTATCTGCTGGTGTATTAAATATTGGTATTGGTGTATTAGATGCTGGAGTACGATACGGTGTGTAAGATGTTTGCGTGACAGGTCTTAGTGAACCAGAAAATTCTGTATTCTTTAAATCGGTTTTAGGAGTCGAGAAAAAATTTCCATAATTATTAGGAGAGGGATTATAATCATCATTAGGAAAGAATATATTGTCGTTGTCGTATGACGAAGGCAGGAAATAATTAGTTTGAGTTTGACGATTCGTGGCCGATTGGAAATAAGAATTAGCTGTGTTGCCCGATCTCACGTAACCTTGGTTTGAAATCCTCTTCGAAGAGCCATCTGAAAAATATAGGTATCTAAATATATACATATATAAAACCAAAAGTTAGAGATAGATATTTTTATAAATAAATATAATTGTAAGTGTGTATATATATACACAACCATATAAAAACACACACATACACACACTTATATAATTATATATATAACATATATATATTATTTATATAAATATAAATTTTGCGAGATTAGTAGATAACAACTCTTATTCAAATGATGGTGAGCGTAAGTTTGGGGGATAAGAAAAAGTATAATAATAATGATGTATGATTGTATGGTGGAGGTGTGTGTTTGTGTAACAGATATTGATGAACTAGCAGATCCTATATCAACTTATAATTCTATGTCAACCCAATTGGTTCTAATAGAGTTCAAGGTAGGATTCTTAATTATTATTAGTATAGGAAAATCATAAGAAATATTCTTACGAAAGGCTATACTGGAAGCTTGTGATGCAAAGGCATTTAACAAGAATTTATTTTCATTGGTGTTTAACCATTGTAGAAAAAAATTGTTTTGGATATTGGGATTTCTAAACCATTGAAGGACAGGATCGGTTGTAATGTCCAAATTGAGTAGAATTTCATCTGAGTTCCTTTTTTTCTTCGGAGAACCATTATCTAAAAAAATACACCTAAATATGTGTGTATACAAAGCCAAATTTACAAAGATAGATGTTTTTATAAATATTCATATATACAGGGTGTCCGGTACTCAATAGCAAAGCGCTTGTGGGCAGGTAGAGTGGGATAAACTAAATCGAAAAATTCTCTATCATTTTGCGATCTTCGCAATAGTTATACTAATTATTAAAAAAAAATTTACGTCAAATATATAAAAAAATTATTGTACATTACACTTTTTCTGAAACAAAAATATTATTTTAACAAATAAAAGTTGTTCAAAAACAAATATGACATTATACAAATTGACAAATATTTGATTAGACATAAAACAAAAATATTTTATTCCAAATTAAAAATATGTTTTTAATAAACTGTTTAAACCATCTAAAATTGTAGCAGCAAAAGTTTAATGCCATTGTTTTTCCAAATAATTTTAAGTTTCACAAAACGGGCTTAAAGTGACTAAAATGATCAATGGGATCATAGTAAAGCAAAAACTTGGCCATTATGTATAATTTTTTTTTATAATTAGTATCTCGATAACTATTGCGAAGATCGCAAAATGGTAGGAAACTTTTCGATTCAATTTAACCAACTTTACCTGCCCACGAGCACTTTACTATTAAGTACCTCCCTGTATATATTATAAATATAATTGTACGTATATATTGTTTCCTTTACACACCAACACACACATTTTCTTAAGCATATATTATATGTCTCCACATAATATTTGCTTTTTTACATATTTATTTACAACACAATTCTTAGAATTTAATTTTGCTTACATAAAAATTGTAGCATAAAAAAATTTTGAGAGAACTCGCAAAAATAGCGGAATCAGAGAATTTAGAAACTATATATGTATATTCATAACAATGCGAATATCAATATGTCCACTGATCCATTCTTCATAAGCGTTTTTAAATATGCACGAATTTTCTTTGCATTATGTAATAACATTCACAATTGTAAATAACAATCACCACAACAATGACCGCAACAATAACGATATTTAACAACACAAAATAATCCACATAGTGAGTCCACGGTAATGAATAACACTTGAAACGATAATTGCAAATTTTCCTACCGGTAGATCGGACGGATGCCACATCAATGATCAAAAAGATCACAATTAGACCGAAATGAAAATCCATCGCTGAGGAGAGATGCGTGAGAAATGCATAAGGATATCGCGTATTCGATATTAATGACGAGCTATATATACGAGCTGCTGCGACATTAACAAGGCGAACATCTCTCCTTCTTTGTCTCTCTTTTCTCTCTCCCTCTCCTTATTTTACAGAGATTGGAAGAAGGGGATGCGTAGAGAATGCAGGAAAAACGAATAAGAGAAGAAAACGTGTTTAAGTTCATGGTAGGAAGCGGTTCTATCAGTATATTGGAGTCATGATTCTATCGAAGATATCGACATTGAGATTAATTGTAAAGTATATAAGAAGTGGAATTGGTATTGATAAAACAATCAATGATTAATTATACTAAGGGTTCAATTATAAAATTTGAAAAGTTTTGTATTATTAAAATGTAATAATTAGAGTGTCTTTAGCATTACAGTAATTTTGCAAGTATAAATAAGATCGTTGTATTGATGTTTCGTTTGTGTATCAATATTTTATTATTTTTTTGTAAAGTTGATACAAATATAAATTTGTTATTGTAATGTTAATAGTAAAAAAGTTTTTATAGTAACACAATTCATAAAAGATATATTTAAATTTTAATTTTTAATGTTATAATTTTATTAAGCGCACGCGCTGATTATAAAATTTGAACTTTTAGTAAAATAATTTGTGTTAAAAATCCTATCCTTATTGTCCTATAATCCAGAATCCTATCCTTATTGTTACCTTTCGTAACATATTTGCGACAAAATAAAAAAAAGAAAGCAAAGCAGAATTGCAGGACTGATTATATTCGCAAAGAATATATATCAAGTAAAAAAAGTTGTTTCTCTTCGATCAATATTTGATAGGTCAATGGAAAATCTCCGATTCTAATGCAATCTAAATAGATAAACCAGTTAACGTATTCCTAAACATTGACGAGATAAGAAGATCGAAAACAGGAAAAAGACAAGTCAATCTGGTTGCCTACCAACATAAAGAAATATGAGAATGTAACATGTACATACTTATAAAATATAAAAAGTAAAAATGTACAATGTGCAAATAAGTGATAAAAAAAGTAGAAGTTATTTTTTATAATAAATTAAATAAAAATTAATGAATTTAATAAATTGAAATATTTAATAATTACTAGATAGAATATAGATGCATAAAATAATATACGAAAATAATATTTCTAAATGACTTTATCATAAACAGAAAATTATCTTATTATAATATGCAAACACTCAAAACATTTTACTACACCATTTACATATCGATATATTTGTATTAACTTGAAGCGTGTGTAAGCAAGAATACATCGGTTTGATCAATTTCTCTCTCGTAAGCTCCGTGTATTATTTGCAGCAGAACTTAGTTTCGCCAGCGAACAGTGTAACTGATAGATTCTGTATACCATATATACTACAAATATTATTACTCTATTGCCAAGATAAAATAGCATAGTAGATTCGGCTAAATATCATTTGATTTTAGCAGCAAATAGGCCTGCATACAGGCACCCGCCGTACTAATGGCGCGTACACATCGATGTGCACTTGTGCGGTGCGGTAGCGTCACCATAATTAGTATTAATTATATTGCATAGAAAGCCGTTGTGATTGATTGAAGAATGACAAATCTAGTAGAAGGATGCTGCAACAATCTATCACGACAACAATGTCAGACAATAATGAGAATCAGAATGATTACATGAATGTAATAACCAAATATGTTTTCTATTTTAATATAATTTAAGTAAGTTTATTTTTTTTAATATCTAATATTTTCTATTTTTGTTTTTATGCAAACGTTTCCTATCTTAAAATTGCCGTGTTACCTGCGTTGAAGCCTCTTTTCCCTAATGTTTAAAAATTCATATCTTCCTGAATAATAAAAATATCGATTTCTTTCTGGGCTTATCTTAAAGATGAATTAATGTAGCTATTTTCTAAAAAATCGTGATTTTATTTAAAAATGGCCGATTTAATATGGCCGATTAAAACGTCATTTTATTAAAAATTGTTAAAATTTGTTTAATTAAAATATAATTTGGTATAAATGTTATTGGACGATGTGTGGAGTTTAATACGCACCGCGCGAAAAGCGTCATTTTTTGAAAATTTATTTTTTATCAAAAATTGTTAACATTTGTTTAATTAAAATGTAAATTGGTAGAAATGTAATTGGGAGACGTATGGGATTTAATACGCAGCGCGCGCGAAGCGCGCGCTTGTTATGTATGTGCTAGTAAGTATATTAAAAAACTGCAAGAGAAAAGACCAAACATTCATTTTCGACGTTATGATTTTTTCGACAATGTCTGAAAATGGATGTAGCACATAGCATTTTTAAAATGGATGTAAAAGCGCTAGTGTATAAGGGTTCTGACAATCCCACATTCCCACGTAAAGTTTGTAAAAGATCGATTTCTGGGTAGCCGCTTTTCTCTCGTGCTGCTCACGAATGATTTGGGAACAGTATTTATGACATCTGTACAAGAGTATATGATTTTTTGAAAATTATTTTTTGAAGAGCTGCGAATACATTAATAATGGCGCAAATAGGGAACGTAGTAAGTGAATTATTATTCCCACATGCAGAATTTCCTAACCTAGATGATAATTTTATAACCTATCTCACGTCTGTTTATGACATATAACATAAGGAGTAAAATTATTGAATAACAATAACTAATAACTATTAAAAACTGACAATGTTACTTGATTAAAATTTGTTCTCATCCAGTACATTATTAATAATACTTATTACATGATTCCTCAAGTTTCATTTTTATTTTATTTTATTTGATACAATTATTATTAGTTCATGAAAAGCGTTAATTTATATAATGAGAGAATTGTGCATTTTTAGACGGCAGATCAACTGATGGCTGGTACCAGTGTGTTGTCAAGGCCCGCTGAAGAATTCGAAAATGATGTGAGTTAAATGTACAAGTAATTTCAGATATTACTTGCACATAATAGATATAGATATTAAATATTTATTATTGCAAAAAAATTTAAGTCAATTTTGCTTGAAGTTATTCACTTACCTTTATTCACTTTTGTTTAATCATGTTTCTACTTTAGCCATCTGTGGAGGCGATGTGGGCAATGAAAGCCATGGAACATGCGGAGGTTTATTTTAATGTAAGTTATACAATATTACGCACATATAGAAAGTACGAAATAAAAAAATGATAGAAATGTTGTGCTTCAGATTTTATGCTCGGTTGATCCAAAACTCTTGAAACTCACGCCTCACGATGAGCAGATCTATAAGACTTTTAAAGATACCTTTTCTGGTATGAAAGTGGACAAGGTGGATGAAGACGAGTTGAAATCTTCAGAGGGGAAGATAAAGTGGAGATTCTTCTGCGAACAATTTAAGGACGTTGTGGAGGACTATAGTTTTGGTACATTATTGAGAGCAGATTGCACCGGAGATTATTCGGAGCAGAACAGCATACTAACAACCAGGATACAGTTTTATGCTATAGAGCTCGCTAGGAACAGAGAGGGCTTCAATGATGGTGTGCGAGAAAAATACAAACCAAGTAAGACTGTAAAAAAATGAGATTTGAAATTACAACTAGTTAGATTAACTCTATTGAAAGCAGATTCAGATATATAATTTTTCTATTATTTTTTTAAATGTGTAAGAGACAGTTGAATAATGTGACAATTTTGTAAGATATATATAATAAAAGATATATGTATATATATACAATAACGGGTATTAAAATTGATTTAAATATATTTAACCATATAATGACATGATCTTTTGAATCAATTTTATACAACATTAAAACGCAAGAAAAAAAGTTGTTACAAAATAAAAATGCATAAGAATCATCAGGGCACAAAGATGATAATGATTATCAATGAAGCTTGACAGTAGTAGTGACTCTGTAGAGTAATAAAAAATTTAAAGTATATAACTAAAGTATGTAAAATAATTTAATTAAAGTATATAACATTACAAGATGTTCATTAATCCAAAGGGTTTGGTGAAAGAATGCACGAGAGCGGCCATTTCTAGAATATATTGCTATATACACACTTTAATAACCAAAAACAAACATTACAGCAATAATATTGTTATTAATGTAATATTATATGCAATAATAGAATCGTTTATCAATCGTAGTGAAAACACCGAAAACTTTGCTTCTTCTCTTATTGGAAAGAACAATGCGTACGGTTTGTCTCCTTTTTATTATTAATAATATTAATTCGCATAATGGCGCCCGATCGACCGCACTTGCTGTTGTAGATCTTGTAGGAAAAAAAAAATATTGAAGTTACATCTTGTTTGTCACGCAATAATATCTAGGCGTGAGTGCGCCTGTGTCTCGCGAGCGCGGTCGACCAGCGAGCAGTTCGATCGATCGTTATCGTAGAATAATAAATATGACAGTGCGATATCTCTAAAAAATCTGTCTTTTTATGCAACTTGCACATTCAAATACAAGTGTACCCGAAAAATGCAATGTACATTGTTTTATTGCCCTTACGAACGTTAAGGGAAATAGCAGCTGCCAAATCGTCATATGGCGAGTACATTTTAGGAAGAGGTAGAATAAAACATCCTTTCCGTTTGACGAGCGTGCGAAGAAATAAACGTTTCGTTTATCTTTTTTCGTCCAGTATAATCATCGACGTCTGAAAATTGTTCCTCTTACAAATTATAGGTCATCTAACGATTTGGCAATTACGGATTCTCCTTGAATCTCTATACGAGCGGTATACTGCGACTTCTCTCCCAATCTCTCGCTTTCGCTCATTCTCTCTCTCTCTCTCTCTCTCTCTCACTTACTCTCTTCTTCTCACGTTCGCTCTGTATCTCTGACCACTAAAAAAATATTTGATACAAGATCATATGAGAATCACAAAATAGAGCTTTGAATAAAATCTGCTTTAGATGAGCGTCTTTCGTACGAGCGTAATAATAATTAAATTAATTAAATAAGTAATCTAGAGTATATTTTATATGTCGAAGGTGTGGAATATTTTTACATATTGTAAGAGAGATTTTTGTCTCTCTTTCCAGAAAAGTTAATTTAAAAGATATCACATTTATATATTTCACTCTCTCTCTCTCTCTCTCTCTCTCTCTTTCTCTCTCTCTCTCTCTGCGCATTTCGATTTATTGCATCTTTATTGAATGGCGCGACCAGAAAATAGAGCTTGCCGAATTTCACGTTTATTTCTTTGCGGTCGATATGCATCACTCATGCAAAATGAACATAAATTACAAGAATCACGTAGATGACATCGACCCTCAAATAATGCGACAGAATCTGAATGTATCAGATTTTCACTCAGTTCTGTTCATTAATTTTTCGCGTGTCGTTTTTTCGAGAGCGATTGGTTCTAGGATGTTTGAAAAGAAAGCGTAAGACTATAAAAATATAACAGTAACAATGAGTTTAAACGAACTCTATTGAATTTAAAAAAGCTCGTACCTACAATACTGTTATTAATTTACATTCAAACACTAATGTTACCGAATGATTTTTATCCTAACAATTAACACATAGGATTTTTAACTTCCATATACCAAAAAGAAAATCAGTAGTAATTGGATCGTATTTAATGTTACTCGTGATTATGTAAATACGGATAATCGACACTTTCTGAGAATTATAGGAACTGGTTCAAAAAATCAGATTTTTTTTAACATGCATGTGTCATTTTTTATACCTGAATAAATTCAATGATGGTCCCTCAAAGTCTTATTAGTTTTATTTAAAGTGCTGTTTTTATAAGATTCGTGATTATGTGATTATGTATTTTTTTTTCAAACACCTTAGATTCATGATTATGTTTTGCGCTCTTTTTTCAAACACCTTAGAGTAGATGTGAATTACAGTACATCTCTCGTCCTGAGCAAATGATTCATACATAATAAAAAATGATGTAAGAAGACAATATCATCATTCATCGAAATAAATAAGTGGAGAATAGCAAAATTACATGATCCTGTACAAAAGTCACGACCCTGTGTGTATGTGTGTGTGTGTGTAAAAAATTTGTAATATTGATGGAAAATACGCTTGAACGCTTTGAACACGTATCATGACGATGTACGATCGTCGACAAAAATAGAGGAAATTAATTATTAACTATCCTTAACAATGACGATGATAGCGTACTCTCCCTAGCTGGCGTCTTTCCGCGTTATTATTATACATTTCGCGAAATTTCCTACAGGCGCGCGCGAAGTGCGCCACGTTCTTTACATCTACGCTCCTCTACGAAGAGTCTCACTGAGAGAAAATCGCAAATCGATTGCACTTTCGATTGCGCGTACAGATCAAACTGCGATATTAAAAAGAAAGGTGCATGCATATTGCATTAAGGCAAATTGCTACTCCTCTACGAATTAACCGGTTATTGATCCGCGTCTATTTATGACGACACTTCTGACAGGTGTGAATTTATTAAAATGGATTATACTTTCATTTTTTGCAGCAATAATCTTTATTTCTTTTTTTTTTTACAAAAACACTACTTGGCACAGCTAATAGTTTATATATTAAATATTTTGCATATACGAGAACAATCGACATTAATAACGAGCACGATTGTCACTCTTCTACAGCAGAATGCTCTCACATCCGAACTAATTGCAGGAAATTATCGTTATCTTAATTAATTAAGGCAACTTCAGCGTAATTAAAACTTCTTTTCTCTCAGTGCGTGTAACCGAGCGCCGAAAGTGACAACGATGCAACAGTGTGTGGAAGTAATAATAAGCCGTCAAGTGTAGGTAAGCTCTACTTTACAACAATTGTGTGTGATCGTAAGAAACTGAGAAACCTAGAAACACAAAGCGAAACACTCACGCAGTCAACGATCTCTCTTCGAAAGAACTCATTTCTCTCTCTTTCTTTCTCTTTCTCTCCCTTTCTCTCTCTCTCTTTCTTTTCTCACGTTATTTCTCGTTCCGCGCGCGTGATCGATAATCAATCCAACAACAACAACAGGGCATGTCGTATTTTACGCGACCTATGGAGAGGTGTGTGATACAGTAGCAGTATTAATAATAATAAGAATCATTTTATAGTTATAGATCGTAGTAGTAAGTATTAGTGTTAGTAGTGTGTGATAACTGACAATACAAATATATCTTCTAAACCTAGGATGCACCGGGAGGAAGTCGGGGAGGTTCGGAGTGAGGAGGGAAGGGAGGATGAGATGATATATAATAAGGGGGGAAGGGGAGGGTAGTCCCGGGTTGAGAATCTCGAGGATAATAGTTGTGGGATCCGAAAGCTATAGTTTCCCAGTATCCTCGGGCTATACTCTGGAGGCGGAGTGCCCCGATCGAAATGATGTCCTCTCATTCTCTTTCTCTCTGGTATACCGTGCAAGTTTTTCCGACTTTGATCTGCGGGAGGATCGGGATGAAAATTGTGGATTTCTTTCTTTTGTTTCAGGAAGAGGTTTCTGGCGTTAACTAAATTCTGTATGATATGTATAGGTTGACGTTGGGCGAGGGTCCACCTATATGTGTGTTCTTCCCGAATCTATTCGCGTTAGCTCAAGGTCTTTTTGCGCACGAATAACGTTAGACGCAGCTGTCAAAGAGAAAGTCCACAATGCCTGTTACGTACGTTTTATATAAGCTAGAAAGTATCCTATCCTCGAACTTCAGTGGTCGATGCCATTGAGAATCTGCGTTGTAACAATGATGTATTTATTCTTAATTAAGTAATCTTTATCACATGGTCCTTTCTATATCGTAGCCTTATTCGTAAAATAGGCAGGGAGAAAGTAATATATATCGTTTAGCGTTAATCAGCACTGTTACAACTGCAGGTCACATCGGCAAAGCTCTGCGTATATTATTGTTATCTTTTTCACCGTGTGTGATTGATCTTTGTTAGTCTTTTTTCTTTTTCTCTATATTTTTTTTATCAAATATGGAAACGCGAGAGAGAACGAGACAGCCGCATTTATCGTTAAACGTGCCACGTGAACACGGGCCGCAGACTCCCACACTACCAGCAGCGTTTTTCTGTAACACATATGTCAATACTTTGCTGACGTCGGTATTTTGCAACGATTTGAACGATGTGACGCTTCGCAAACAACAAGTCGAAGATATGTAACGCCGATTACAAGAGATATAGCTTCCTCTCCCCGCACGCGCACACACACCCTCTCATTCTCTCTCCCCGTTCCCTTTTTTTCCCCTATCTCTCTTTCTCTCGCTCGCTCGTTCGTCCATGCGATCCTTAACACACCAGCCGAGACAAATCACCTGTCAACGCTCGCAAGCCCTGTATACGTAATGACACGACGAATGCAGCTATATAAAGTATAAGTATCTCTTATATATTATATATATATATACTTACGGTGTAATTGTATGTTGTATACAAGTATGTATATATACGCATACATATACGTATGTTACGTATCGCCGGCCTACAGCAGGTGTTTTATTTCGTCTCTCATTCTCTGGTAGTACGATCATCACGAAAGTGTCTCTCACCATTCACACCGCTCTCTCATTCTCTCTATCTCTCTCTCTCACCTTTTTCTCTCTTCACGTCACGCTCAAAGTTTCCGTGTGAACGTGTTATAGTTGTTATAAGTGTGTCTCGTTATATATGTTTGCTTTTTACATAAAATATTGCGTACCAGACGATTTTACAAAACTTTACCCTGGAATAATGTACTTTACGCTGTGCGAGGCGACCGATCGCGAGGAAAATATCGCGGATACATATTTCGTAGAACTCCCCTATTTTTTTTCCAAGACGCGCGTGCACGCGGCTCGGTCCGAATCTCTTCGCAATCGGTACTTTCAATGTGCCCCTCCCCTCTGCGGATTCACCACGTAATATCAATTATTTTTTTATTCTGCGATCTCACGACGACCGACATCCGTATATTCGCGATCGAATGCAGCGTGTCCTCTTCGTTCAACCCTTTCAACAGCCACGTTACGTAATAACTTCTATTGGTCGACTGTGTATTGTCACACATTGGATTTTGAAAATAAGGACTACGATTACGTTAAAATCGTTAGATCTCTTGTGAAATCTCGTGATGTATAAAATTAATGAAGGTCAATATTTCAAGAAAGACATCCGAGCCAACTCGGTTACCGTCCGGTTAAGGATGTTGAAAGGATCAAGAGGTTCGCAGAACTCGGAGTATATTGAGATCACATCAAGCACTCTCTGTGCGCACACGTGTTACAAAAGGGCGACGATCTCTTATAACGCATTGAAAGACGCAGTCGCAAATCGTACACGCGACATTTTACACCTCACTTTTTTTTTGTAAAAAATTTTATTCTTTTTCTTTCTCTCTCTCTCTCTCTTTCTGTTACATCGCACTACTACACCTCGTTTTGTTTATCCCTTTCTTAGTTTTTTCTTTCGCGTTAAAAATTTAAAATACTCGTATTATACGTAAGTATTTATGACCCTGTTTTCGTAAAGGCTTTCTAACGTAAATCGATTCCTGGCCGAGGAAGATAAAGGAAGATAGGATTCTAATAATAAGATAGAGGAAGGGACAAAGAGGGGTCGAGAAGACGCGACTACGTTGGGAAGAGAATAGAGGGTTACGCTTGAACACGAATTACCTCTATCGTTACGTATTATTTTTTCTTTTCTCTGACGCTTCTCGACGGCGAACGGAAAGACGGCTAACGGAAGAGTAACGTAACGTAGAAATAATGTGGAGACTTCGACGATGGATCAAGTCGCAACAATCCGCAATAGTGTGTCGCCACACATGTTTCCTCAATGGAGAAAAATCTCAGTGTATAAGCGGTTTTTCTTCATGCGACTACAATATAAAAACCGCCTATCATCAAAATTGGCACGCGCGTTCTTTCGCTTTTCGTTAAAATTTTTATTTTATTTTAGCATTACACCGCTTTAGCATTCTCGAAGATATAGGTCCGAAGTTTTCTACTTGTCAAATCGTGATACACGCATATTCTACGAAAATACAATATCTTATGACGAACACTTTTCTCATCAAAGAAGGAGATATTTATAATTTATTGTTCTCGTCGATAATTGATATGACTTACGTTCTTCTTAAAAAGGAACACCCTCACGACAAGTTACAAGATCATTTTTGTCTTTAGGATCAGACTTTTCCTGGTTTCGGTAACAATCTATTGCAGATTGACCAACAGATTGTTGCAAGTCTAATTCAATTTGCTAAAAGAGAAAAAAAGAGTAGGAAGAAGAAAAACACGGTAGGAGATAATTACGCTAACGAGAGGAGAGCGAAATGACCTCGTATAATCTCCGCAGAGATGACGCGAGTCATTCTTTTCAATGCATCGCAAGTGCAAAAACTGAGAGCTTTCCACGTAAAATTGTAATATCGTATTTTTCTATATAATCTTAGCGTCACCTGCCGCGTCTGGCAAGGGCGCGACCTTTAATTTACATACATTCGAGTTGCCAAGTGTAATTCACTTGTTATTCCCATCCTGACGTTTCGATTCTCGACGAGATTGCCATTTTTTACGGGTTTTTAGACGTAATATTCATTACGATGTA